AAACTCAGTAGAAAACATTAGACACATTGACATCTCCTTCAACTTCTGACATTGGTACTACGCAGAACAAAGTGTACATTCAGTAGCCAAACTGAAAGCTCCTTCACTTGGAAGACAATTCAAGGAACACAAGGACAGCTAAACAACTCACATGTTCTGGAAAGCAGCTTCATGGCATCTGGGCTTCAACTGACCAACCCAGGCACATCAAGCCAAAGTAGTAAAACAAAACCCATCTTCCTAACAAATCTCCTGCATGCCACCTGTATAAACACATCTCTCTGAAAATGATCTGGCCTACCTGCCCTCCCCGCCACACATGTTGCCATAGTTCTGCTACATACTTTAGTATAACTTGCATAGTTCTGCACTGGAAAAAAAATTACCTTATTACAACCTTTTAAATTTCCTTTCATTTGGGATTAGGGCAAGGAGGGGAGTGAGAGAAAGAACCACAGTAAAGGGGCTCACCCAAAATAAAACAAGGACTAACTATAACTTTTAGACCCATTATTAGCTCTAGTATTTATGACAAGTGTTAAAATTTCCATCTTGCACAGTCTCAAACTGACCTTTCTTCCATTTGATTTACAGCAAAAGCTGCAGAGCACACGACCTTCCCCACTGCCTTCTAGAACCCTCTTGGCTGAGGGACACACAGCAGGAGACTGAAAAAGCTCTAATTGATTTCACCTGTTACTAAGGTTTCATGCAAATCACACCTTAATGCACCTGCAACAGGGCTAGTAGATGCCCCTTTCTCCTTGGCCATCTAAGTACTTAACATTAAAGATAATAGGAGGAAAAAAAATTTTTTTTGGAGAACCTAACTGTCTGTGAGGTTAAAAGCAGCCTTTGAAACCCAAATCCCTGCTTTCTCCCATTCCTATACTGGCCTTAAAAGCATTAACAGCCTTTCTCAAAAGCAAGTTGAGAACTTAAAGAGACATCTTAACCTTCCCAGATGTATTCACACACTGTTGTACTTACACCTAGCCAAAACATGTTTCTTCTGTTTCATCTGAACTAGTGAGCTTTAGGAGCTGAAAGCTATACAAAGTAACCCTTAACTTAAAATAAAAGCAAACCCAACAGAGTTAATATCAGAGTCTGTCCTCTGTTGATTATAAACTCTTGATTTGGTCTAGGAAGACACTCACACAAAAGCAAGCCCTTTCTGTTGGAGTATTCTTAAATAAGCATTTTTAAGCATATATAGCTGTAGCAGTGGGCAGGAATTGCAACACCTGGGAGGAAAAACACCTGGAGCTAGGGAGCTCTCCACCCACATGTGCCAGAGCTAATAGGTCTCAGCTGAACACAGTACCTGGAGGCCCCCTCTCTGCTCCCTACCAGCTCTGGGGCACCTTCCACCCACACAGCAGGAAAGCTGGGGAACTTGGTAAATCAACCAGGGAACCTTGCCATTCCACAGTGTAATCCCCAACTCTTCAAGTGCTCACCACAATTTGCATTCCAGCCTTCCATCAGCATCAGCTGCTTTTCCCTGGAGTTGCTCCTCCTCAGCCCAGCACCATGATGCCAGGAGCACATCCAGGCTAGCTTTGTAGCAGCTCTCAACATCTCCTGGCCATCTCTAYGGCCATTGCCTTCCCCCCTCTACTCCTGATCTTTTCAGAAASAAAAAGCTACTGAAAACAAGCAGCATACAAAGTATACAACCAGATGATTATTATGTGCATAACAATAGTAAGGAGACTCTTGCAAATATTTTCCAGCTCCTCCAACAGGAATGTTTCCTTTGCAATGGATAACTAAATTGTGATTTCAATAACTCAAACTATTTATAGGCAATAAAACCATGCATATTCTTGGCAAGTGATTTACTATAAACTTCTTCTTATATCCTGCATTTGTGAAGACTTAAACAACATCAGTTTGTAGTCAAGGACAATTTTATAAAAATCTGTAAGCTGCARAAATGATTTGTAGGTGAAAATTCCAGAACAAACCCATTGCTTTTCTTACACAGAGCTAGGCCCAAGAACTGGGATTGATGCTACCACCTAGATTTTCCACGAAGTTCTTGGCTAATCAAAACACAAATGAAGCCAATTGTTTCTGGTCCTGAGAAAGAAAAAAAGCTTGTAAAACAGCAAAATTAAAAACCACACTCAGCTCATAACAACACAATATTAGGAAAAAAAACATACACTAAAAGCTAAACTGCACAAATAGATGGTTAAAAGGAAACATTATTATCTAGACCAGACCAAACGTAACATCAGTTGCTTAATCCACAATTAAATGAAGAAAAAAAAACAAGAGCAAACAGTCTGCATCCCCAAACATACCCCAAGTAGCTGCTAAAGTAGGAAGCAATRCTGGGTAAAGAAGAAAAGCCAGTGTCCCCAAGAGAGCATTAAATAGTGCCCAGCACAGGTGTCACCAATTGCAGTTTGTCTCTTCCCTGAGTGCAGCCCACGTGTCCTTTTAAAGGGGGGCATTAAAGGCTGTAGAGAGGATAATGTCATTGTAGGGTCATTTTTAATGATAGACAAGTGTTTTGCTGATGTTTTGCTGTAGAGTTGGAGTCTTTTCTGTGCAGGGGTCATCCAGGCTGTACTGAAAATCTAGAAATCCCTGATTTTATTCTCCCCCAGTCCTCCTACCTCCCCCCCAAAATAAAAGACACCCTGGAGTCCTTCAAGCACTTTTGAGGTTCAGAAAACTTTTTTCTCCCATCTGTGAGATGCTAATGTCTTCAAGAAAAATTAGAAGCTAAAAAWGAAAAAAAAGTAAGGATTACATATCATTGTATTTATTGGTCATATATCAATACGCATATTCTTTAGAAAGTCGTAAATAAAATCAGATATAGCCAAAAGAATTGCTTTCCTGACGCATCCTGCACTGCAAGGAGCTTTTAGTTTGCTTCTCCAGAGAATTTTCTGCCTTCCACATAATGTGCAGCAATCATCACAAAATAGCTTGAAAGGTTTAAACTGAAGCCAGAGTAACATCCCAGCAGTTTTAGAAAAGCAGGATCTTAAGCTCCTTGAACCCATATGAAAGATATAATATCTATTATATCTCTGTAAAGTCCCTCCTGCATCCTTTATTCAACTTTTGTAAAAGATGGGTATTCACTTCGAAGAAAGTAAAGAGATAATAGACCATTTATTTGGTGGGGGAAAAAAAAAAGGACCCATGGACCTCAAGGAGCTGAGCATGCCCTCAATAGAAGCTTTCAATGTTAAGCAACTCCATTTGTTTGTCCTAAAATAAGCTCAAAAGTAGAATATTTTTTGCTCCTAGAATAATTTGGAGCACTGTATCAAGTACTTTTCAGCACCAGCTTCCATATARTCGGGCATGAGGCGACACATGATAATGGCAGGCTCTGGATAGCAGGTACAGATCTGAGTGCCAGCTCAGTTCTCGGGAGGAGGGATTACTCCCTGCGAGGAGAGGACTCACTTGGAGCTTCACCAGGTAACTCCACTTGTACCAAGCRCTGCACCCTCATTGCAAAAGCGGCCTGAGATACAACCCCAGGCCTTCTAGAAATAAAAGCAGATGACATGAGAGCTGTATGAAACAGAGACCATAATTTGCTGCCATATCTGAGTTTGTATGCATATTCTGTAGCTTTTAAAATCCTCCTTAGTGGGACGTTTGACATATTTTTCAAAACTATGCAAAATTACAAAATAGATTTCTGACAATGTGCGGTTTTGAGAAGGCAAAAGAAAAAGAAAATATGGGGAATGAAAAACAAAAGTATCTAATAAAGGAAAACCTGGGGATCAGAAACAGGCAGGAGACATAACAACTACCAGTTAGCAGACATCACCCAGCTGTGGTGCATTTTAGTTTATTACTATATCTACAATGGCTGAGCTCCACCAAAAGTGGCCAGGCCTCCAAAAGAAACAGTGGCAGGRAAGGAACACATGGGCAAGGCATTGGCCTGGACTGACGCCGCTTSCGGGTGGGAAGGGAAGGCCTGCAGCCGGAGGCTGGGATGGGGCCTGGATGGAGCTGCTGCTCGTCACAGCGTGCACAGGCTGCTCAGAGGACTCTCTTCCCACTCCTCCTTTTCTCTTCCTATTACAGTGACTTTTCCCCATTTCATGCAGGCAGCAGCRCTGGGCATTGACCAGTCCGGGTGCAACTTGAGGCCATCGTGGCCTTTCAATCTCAGCCCGCAGCACCAGCCACCCAGCTCGGCCGGTCTGGAGCAGCAGGGAGTGCACGGCCAAACGGCACCGTCTTTTATTTACACTCTCCAGSCTGATGCTACTGCTCGTCCTAACGTGACTGGCGTTTTCGAGGGACCATAAACTTCAAATAACACCGCCGCCACAATAAACCACAAATAACACCAAAAAGATTTATTGACTATCTGTTTTTATTTATTTATTTTCAGCTTTWACAGCTGCCCCTGTTTGACGTTTGCTGGAGCGGGCACTGCCCACRCAGGTCGCGCGGCGCCGCGGGGCATTAACGGTCGCTGCGCCGCCAACGGCAGCCCGGAGGGGCCGGACCGCGGGGCGCTCCGGAACGCGAGCAGAGGGGCGGGTCCCCGGGGGAGCGGCCGTGGGGCGCGCGGGGGGCGGCGCGCGAGGGCCGGGGGCGGAGCCGCCTCAGGGCGCGGGGCGGAAGMGACAGCTGCCAGCGGCGCGAGGAGCGCGGGGGCGGAGCCTCGGGCGGACCCGCCCTCGCTCCGCCCTGCTCCGCATCCCAGTGACGTCACTCGTGCTGCGCGTCGCCATTGGCTGTCCGGCCCGTCCGTCACGCGGCGGGTACTTGGGGAGGCAGGCGGGACCTCGCTTCCCTCCCGCGGCGCGCAGCGCGGGGTCCCGCGGGTCGCGCAGCGCTGCCCGCCGCATGGAGCGCTGCCCGCCGCCCTGCCCGCGCCGCCCGCCCCGCTGAGCCGGCCCGGCGGGCGCCGGGGGGACAGCGGCGCCCTCGCGTCGGCGCCGGCCGCTGCGCGCGGGGTCCGGAGGGGCGGGAGGGCGCGGGCAGGTCCGGGCATGCCCGGCGCGGCCGCCGCGGCAGTGAACCGGGAGCAGCCGGCGAGTTACTCCGTGGAGTTTTCCATGGATGTTTCCCCGCCGCAGATGCAGGCGGGCGCGGCGCGGCTGCGGGCGCTGCTGGAGCAGGAGGTGCGCGGCCCGGCGCGGCTCGGCGGGCGCCCGCGGGACGGCGCCGCGCGCGACCTGCTCAGCCTGGCGCAGTTCTTCGCGTGCCGCACGCAGAGCTTCTCGCTCGCCGTGCTCCTGCTCGACGGGCTCCTCGCCACGGTCAAGGTGGGTCCCGCTCGGTGCGGGCTCGGGCACCTCTCGGATGCGCTCCTCACGGGAAACTATCCCCGCAGACGGACTGGAGGAGAAAAGGAGGGCTTGGAAGGCAGACTGCAAAATGGGCTGTAGAACAAGTACCCTGACAGCTGCAGGGTAAAATAAGGATGTGTTTTCTAAAATCTTCCTGGCAGAAGCCACCAAGTGCAGTTCTTGAAGTTCTAAAGGCTTTTGATACTCTACAGCCTTCTCAAAATCTTCCTTAAGATGGGTCTTCCTTAATACTKTATTTGGCCCACCTGCTCTTTTAATCAATGAGACAGAACTTGTGTTAAAAGTCTCTTCATGTAGTGAAACAAAGAGAAGGGTGAACTGAATTCTTCATCTTTAAATATTCATTTCAAAAAGGCACTTTTTTTTTTAATAAAGGAAGATAATTCTGTAGTTGGTTATATGGTGGACTGATGAAAATTTGTCATCTTTTGAAACTAACAAGACCCACTGATTTATTTTTAGGTACAGCCTAAACACTTGGGATGTGTTGGACTCAGCTGTTTCTACTTKGCTGTGAAGGCAACAGAAGAAGAGAGAAACATTCCTTTAGCCACTGACTTAATTCGRATAAGCCAGCACAGATTCACTGTTTCTGATATGATGAGAATGGAGAAAATCATATTAGAAAAGCTGTCCTGGAAAGTCAAAGCTACAACAGCCTTCCAGTTCCTGCAACTCTACCATTCACTCATTCAAGAGAATTTAAGCTGTGAAAGGTAAAATACCTTTTAAAAACCTTTTCTGCAGTAACTGCAGATGCAGGAAGCCTATGTGGAAGTTAGCGGAGAAAATAAGTAATTCTAGCCAGGAACAGTCAAAGTGAAGGAGAAGTCCTTCTCTTGCTGCTGAACATCCCAAATGTGAATATCTCTGTTCTTAAGGTAAAATGCTGTGTGCTTAACAGGACCCATGTGTGTTGCTGTCCAAAYACAAAATTGGACATGCTCAGCAGCAGGGGTATTAAAAACCTCAGCTCACACTGCTAGTTGTTGCCTCATTGCCAACATTTCAGAATCTTCTGGCTTAGAAAGAGGTTTCTTATGCTGCAAACATTTGAGGTCCTTCATATCCAGACTAYTCTGACAGTCCGATCTCCCCATAAAATCCATGGCATTAGGACTGCCAAAGCCAAGCACCTGTTTGGCAGAAATCCTGCAAGTTCTGGACAATGAGGCCCTTAATTGAATAAAAGTCACACTAGCCACCTAAGCTAGCTGGCAGRTAGTGTTGTCTGAAGTTGGTTTCTTGTGTGACATGTGTAGACATTGACTCATTGCTGTTGTTATAGGAGAAAACACCTGAATTTTGAGAGACTTGAGACACAGCTTAAGGTCTGTCACTGCAGGCTCACGTTTTCTAAAGCTAAGGTAAAGAAATATTTTGGAAGTCYAAAAATAATAACACTGTTGAAATGTAATAAATGGATGTTGAAAAATCATCACACTTTGCTCTCTCCCCAGCCTTCTGTCTTGGCGCTGTCAATTTTGGCACTAGAGATAGAAGAACAGAAACTACATGAGATGACAGAGCTGTTGGAATTCCTGCAGATACATTGCAAGGTGTGGATACATTGAGCATTAGTTAGGGAAGGGAGAGAAATACATGAAAGCACCTGTTCCTAGGGGAGAGGCTTGGTACATTGATGTAGAGGTTTTCTTCTGTTTGTCTGGGCACCTTTCTTCTAGGTGAAGAACCTAAAAATGCTCGTGTGAAATGTGGATAAGCATTTAATGAATTAACGATGTTTGGGATTCTGTTTTGCTTTTCAGATAAACAGCAAAGATTTGACCTTCTGGAAGGAACTGGTGTCCAAGTGCCTTACTGAATATTCCTCGAGCAAGTGTTCCAAACCAAACATCCAGAAACTGAAATGGATTGTGTCTGGACGTACAGCCCGGCAGCTTAAACACAGCTATTACAGGATAGCACACCTCCCTACGATTCCAGAGGCCAGCTCGTAACAGGTAGCCATCTGGAAAATCTGCTTAYGATAAAAGTGGAAGTGATTTGCTGTTAAATGCCTCAAAACATGGAATGCTCAAGCCTGCTGATACCACGCTAGTGGGCTTGTCTTTGATCCACTTTTGAGCCAGAGCTTGTACATACAGAAATGGCAAGCTACTATGTTAGGATATGAAGCAGAACTCATCCTCTGGTGTCCTGTGAGCCCGGAACTGGGATCTCCAGACCTTGGGATGTCATTCAGATTAACATGTGGGATAAAACTAGCAAAAAGACAAAGGACGAAATGCAGCTTGCACTGACTCTGAATGAAATAGTCTAAAAAAAGCAATTAGCTACTAGAATGTGCATCACTTGAACAGCTGTTACAACGTAGGCAATTTTCTGTGGTTTCATTTGTTGAACTGTCCTCACAAGCAACTCCAAAAATTGTAATTTAGTTATTGGTATTGCARTTATACAATATGGAAACCACCAGTTAATCAAAATGTAGATGTTAATTGCAAAGGCTACAATATTTTCTGTAACAGCTGTTACCTTCTATTAAAGCCCGGTGCTTGGTTTGCCTCTTRGAGAAAGTCTTTCAGTTGACTGTGGTGTCTTCCTTACAGGACTACATTAAAATAAACAGATCACCATCCGGTGGCCTAGTTGAGAAACTGCTGAAGATGCAAGAAATGAGGTCCACAACACTGACTAAATGAAGAGCTCAGTTGATAAAATGTAACGCTTCAGATGGAAGATCCTTCTGATAAAGGAGATCTTGTCACAGTAGTAACAACAGTGAATACTTGGTGTGAGGTTTTAGCCTTTTTTGTTAGGATGTTGCTATTTCAACAGCAAAGCATTACAACACATGCAYAGAACTTTTAACACTGTGTCTTTTAACACTGTGTAATCTGTAGGGCAGCTTGTGTAGCCTAACCTTACTTTATTGTAACAGCAGGTGTTSAAGTAGGTTTTTAATTTGAAACAAATGATTTGGTTTCCTAAGACTGCAGGAGGTTAGGAAAACATCCCATGCACTAGGCCAGTAGTTTCTGAAACTAAAAACCATGGTGCTKGGTATGAATTAGAAGAATAAATGTGTGGCCATCAACCTAACATGCCAGCTGGGGGGTGTCCTGTGGCCATGTCTTGCTTCTGCACAGGGCACTGCTATTTAAGGTAGTATCACTAACATGGAGGCAGGGTGGTAGTGTTTATTGTGTGGGGCAAGTCAGTGGCATGGGAGAGAATGGATGGATGTTAACTGGTGTCCTTGTAAGAGCAAGTAGGTGGCATGGTCTTAATAGCTTCACTATTCTGCAAGAAATGTAGTTGCTGGAAATAGCGCGTGATATAGAAATTGAATGGAACATAAGAAAGGCTGAGGGGAGTGCATTGAGTCACGTGGCTCAGATGTGAAACCTAGTCCACGCCACCGCAATAGGGATGCCTTCCCTGTGACACTCCAAAAATAGGAGTGATCTTCCTGAGAAACATGGGAATTACTTTAACTGGTCTCTGTAACAGCAGGCTTGATGAAAATACAATGCTTGCCTAAAAGTAAGGTCAGTATTTTAAGAGGATTATCTTGCKGCTGGTGCTAACATGCAAGGGTTGAGTGTTACAGTAGGTAAGATGGAAAGTTGTACTGACACTGTGAAAGAGGGGCTGCTAATTACAGCCTGCTACTAAGCGAGGGCCATATGACMAGAGTGAGCAGGGAAGCAAAACTGTGAATGTTGTGAAAGTAGCGTGGGCCTAGATGTTACCCTACCAAACCCATCGGWATAGCTGCTGGGGGAATCATTTTCCTTCGCTATGTCAAATGGAAACTGGAGTTAAACATGTCAAAAGATTTTATACCACAGGTCTGTGCTGAACAAATCCAAGTTGTCATTGAATAGTTGGGAAGGATAGCCCCAAGGGAAATGATATGGGGCTGTGTGTCTTGGCTGTGTTGGGTGCAGTGGGTGCTGACACACAGCAGCCACGTGGTGCACACMATGGTGATCATGTCCTTGGAAGAAATGGTTCAGGATGGGTTGTGCAATTCAATGCTGGTATTGTGCCTCTATATAAAGAGATGTACCTTTTAATAAAACACTGAAATATGGTGAAGTGAATAACTCTTCTCTAATTGATTATGAAACTTCTCACTTGGAAGCCTCTACCTGAGCAGCACCTGAAAAAACAATACAAGCACATACACAGAGAAGAGGGGTTATTAACAGCCTGCTTGATTTGAACAGATGGAGTYTGAAGACGGAAGGCTTGAGAACCAAAAGGTAAGACTTGGTGTCCTTGATAATTGTTTTTTTTACCTARCCAGTCACTTTTCCAAAACCAATGAAGGAGAAACCATGTAGACTGAAAGGACAACAGGGTATCTGTCTTGGATTAAGTGATGGAGTTTTAACTGTTTCAAGTTARCGGAAGCTTTCTTAAATCTTACTCATAGTCTGTCATCCAAATAGAATTGGAATCCCAAGATCTGTATTTTTGTTGCAACTAAAGCATTCCAGTTTGCATTTCAAGCAAGACCAACTCTGCTGTCTTTCCTCTGGCCTAAACTACTTCTGCAGCTCTCTTGTTGATCTAACTACAGCAGCCCCCTTGCATTCTAAGAACTTAGGGGAAGTGTAAAACATATAGCCATAGATCAACATTTGATGATAGGTCTTATTCTCATTTTCTTAATAATGAGACAACATTTTCTGAGCATATTCTCCAAGTATCTTAGAAGACTGTACAACTTAGAAGTTAGCAGTCATAAAAGATTTATTATTGGTGATTTCAGAAGTATTTAGTGTTGGCTGCTGCAACAGGCAAGTCCTTAGAAAGGATTACAATATGAGCAGTTGGCTCCAGCTGTTATTTCTTTCTTGTCATATGCCAACTGAAATTAGGGTGTAACTTGAATATTTAAAGGTTCAGCAATGTATTAGTCCTTTTTTTGGCTATTTTTCACCAGGGAAGCAACTTCAAAACCTMACTCTACAGAGTAACTTCAGTGCTCATAAAGGAATGGAATTTGACACTAAGGCTTCGTTCTCTGTTAGTCTCAATGCAACACTAGCCRTTTATGATCCTGTTGATGGAACAGTTCAAGTGCATCCTTGAATGGAAAATCTCAATGCATAATTTCCACATGTATAATACCAATTTGGGCAAGAGCRAAGTTTGAAATTCATCTAAAATCATAAACTATCAGCATACTGACAGATGTAGAACTGCTTCTTCTTTGATACCTAAAGAAATGTGTTGATTGTTAATAGATGCAAAATAGAACTTCCTACTTGACAAGTTGTCTTTAATAACTTCTTTTGGCTTCTGTCATTTCAAGAGTCATTAAATATTCCACCCATTTCCAAATTGCCAATACTTGCACTGATTTTGACATTAGCACACCTTGCTATAGTTTTTCACCAAACCTTCGTCTTCTGCTATCACTTAMTATAGCAGCTGGGATGAAACAACAGCCCTATAATCAACGAAGCAATGGATTACAAACCCTTACTTTCTGCAAGATGCTATAGTTCACTAAAATCACTAGTTTAGAAAGACATTTACACATTCTTTGAGAACTCTGAGCCTTCCTTAAATCCTTCCTCTTGCAAGAAAGTGTTAAGCATATTGGTTCTGGGTCTATGCTTCAAAATTGAGTGAGACCACATTCTCATGCTAAGCCGAATGATATGTTTGTAACTAACAAGCTAAATGTAAGAGAAGAAAGAAAAGTGTTATTTAAGAATATACCTTTTTCTGTCTGTAATACTTTCAAGTTMCCACAGCTTAAAAATCCACTGCTGACACTTTGTCTTGATGCTGTTCCAAGAGATCWTCTTTCTCTCCTAGAAAAAAAATTATCACTAACTTGGTGCTAAATAGATCACTGAAGTCCTCCCATGGTTACATATTGCAGTCCTTAAGTGCATTGTGTAATTTCTCCTAAAGAAGACAGTTCACTTTTCAACACTAGAGAAGTCAGGTCCTCCTTTGCTGTAATTTCCRGAAATTTCTGCCCCACTGAAGTCAAATCCAGGATTCTGATGGAGATAAGAGAAACTTGGTAAATAGATTGCATTTACTATAAACATATTTTTTTAAGAAACTTGATGACTCAAGGAGACACAGCTATCAGCTTGTCATGGCTGATGCAAAAGGTCATGGCTCTGAAATTCTGCATGGAAAATGCACCAAGAAATGAGACGTGAGGYGACATAGTTTGGTTGCCTGGTGAACAAGTTAACTTTGTAATRGCATCTTCCAATTGGCAAGCACATCTCCCAATAAAGAAGCCTCAATGAAAGTCTCAAGTCAACTTGTAGGCTTTTGGCATCCCTTTAACTTACCAGCTGAAAGCATAACCATCTGCTGTGCTGGATAAGAATTATCAAGAAAACATTGTTCTTAGCCAAGAGTTTTGTGCCAGTTCAGCTGTTAAAAARTAAGCTGTATTTGCACAAGTCCACAAATATAACAGCTACAGTTGAGCAGTTAAGCTGCATGAAAATAATGAAATCCATTTGAGTGAAAGGGCAAGGAAAATATTTACCACCTAGCTACTTGCCATTTTCTGGTATTAGGTGTAAACCTATTCAATAGAACTTGATGTTAGAAATGTTTTAAATATACCTGTGATGCAACCTTAYATAACAAGAGAAATTGTAGGTAGACTAACTTAAAAAAAAAAAGGTATAATTATGCACTAAACTGAAAATACCTTATATTCTCACAAAAACCTAAATTCAGGCAGAACAGCTTCTTCAAAAGTATTCCAATAAAGTCTAATAAAAGTTTTATGCCTACTAACTTAAAGAGGTTGTTTCCAGGATTCAGGATATTCCTGCTGGACAGCCAAATACCTTTGCTCAGCCTTCACTGGCCTAGCCCCTGCAAATGCAGAACAGGGGCCGTAACCCAGGCCTCTAACTTGCCTCTCTTTGGAATCGCTCCAGGGTGAGTTTCCTCTGCATCTGGTCCTGGACCCAAGGATCAGCAGCGTATTCATTTTCTAGCAGAGATGTCCAACAATTTCCAGCATCTCGGTTTGTCTTGGTTAGAACAATTCGTATCAATTTCCGATCCTCTATTTAAATACAGCCATAGGAAAAAAAGGAACAAAAAATTAAAAACTTAGTCCTACAGCACTATTGCTTTTATGCTGTTGTTTCGCTCAATTCGCCGTTAACATGCGAAAGTGTGGGATTAAACCACTCCATAGGGGGGAAAAAAAAACCCACAATTCTTAATGCTGATGTCAATATGGCTATTAGTAAATAATGAAGTAATGAGAAATGGAAAAGCTCAAGCAGAGATAACTAGACAGTCACCCCCTTTTCCGGCCTTTAAAATACCAACATTATTCTGGATTAAAATACAACTCCGAAGTACCTCTATTGCAAACCTCAACTAAATTGGGTAGGTATATTTGGCAAGAGATGAAGATTTATGAAGAGATTCATGTATACAGCTCGGGTAAGGCTGTAACTGGGGTTTCAAGTCAGGCTGACAGCTTTAGAGAACAGTGTTACTGGTAAGAGTCAGAAATGAATTTAAGTGACATAGGGAGAGACCATAATCTTTTCTTTAAATGTAGACAATACACTTATATTCATTAAATATATTGAAGTAACATCTCAGATTCATGTAAAATATTTATCATAAACCGAATAAATGTAGCATGGGAAAGAGCAATTTTAAATTTATTCCCATTTTGGGAAGAAGTATTAGGCATTTAGATTTTCATGATTATATCACTACATCATTAATCAATGTTAATTTTACCTCAAAAATCATGCTTTGAGAAATGTTTGTAAAATGCATTGCCAATATTGGCATTTCCCCATTACCTTTAATCTCTATGTTTTTGTACCACCTCTGCTTAAATCACTTATCACATAAAAAGGCCATAAAATTTGTATATAATGCCGATCATCTGTCAACTGAATTTACTTCCCCTTAGATGAAAACTAAAGATGGCTCATGTTACTCTACATATGGAGCATTGGAACCTGAGCAAAACCAGAACAAAAGTCTTTTTTTTTKGGGTAACAAATCCGAAACACCCCTACTATAGTCTGTAATATATTTCTTAGTCCTGCAGAGAATTTCTACTCCTTTCAAAATGTCACTTCAGAAACTGATTATTACCTAATGTCCATGTTCCTTCATCTGCTACTGTAGAGTCAAACAGTTTGCCCTGCAAGAGACATGGACAGTGTTAGACGAGAGGAAAACCTGCGCAGTGTCCGGCWCGGGGACGTGCCGAGCGTCACTGCCCGGCTGCTGCCAAGGACAGTYGGGACCAACCTGCACTTCCTCCTGGACTAGTAAAGAACGGCTTTACTCCAGAAACATATATAGGCATGTATTTTAGATGGGAGGTATTTAATAAACGCATCCGCTGCTGTTCAGGCCCTGTTCCAGGCTGGGCCTGCACTCCGGGGTAAAGCCTCTCTTACCTGCCTGCCCTTCACRCCCGCGGTGCTGCCTGGGCCACGCGCCCCCGTCCCGCAGGGAGACCCCACGGCGACACGAGCAGCGTGGGGGTCGCTTCCCACCGGAGGGAACGTCTCTAATCAGCCCCGGCCCCCGTCACGGGCTGATGCCGGAGCCGCTCCATAGCCGGCAGTAACGAGGGCCCCTTTCCCGCCGCCTCGCAAACCGGCCGCGCGTAACGGCCACCCCCGCGGCGTCCCGGCCGCGCGCGGTACCTGCAGCACCTCCTCGCCGCCCACGGCGAGCTCGACGTGGCGGCTCCGCAGGGCGCAGCGCACGTCGCGGGCGCGCGTGCCGGCCGGGACGCGCACCTCGATGAAAACCTCCTCGAGCGTCTGGTACCAGCGGCCCCAGGGCGTGGCGCAGGGCACCACGCCGCTGCGCTCCTCGAACGGCGCCGACATGGGCACCCCCGCGGCGTCCCGGCCGCGCGCGGTACCTGC